ATGCCAGCCAGCCCCGCCCCCTGGTGGGCTGAGCTGCCCCCCCCACAATAAATAAATAAATAAATGTTAAAAAAAAATAAATGTAAGAAAAAAGTAAAAATTAAAAAAATAAAAATAATAATGCTCATTCTCCTTAGATCCCTGTACTCTAATTTTGGGATTTGAGCCTACAGATATTCTGCAAAGTGACAGTATATATGGAAAGAAAATTTGTACTATTTGTATCAGCAAAAGACTGAAAACAACTTAAAAGGCCATAAACAGAGGACTAGATGACTAAATCAAGGCATGCTCATCTCATGAAACTCGTAACAGCCATTGAAAAAGACAAGGTCATGCAGGTTCCCATTCTTAATCTACTGTGTGGATGTAACATGAAAATGAAAATAACCAGGGCAGAACAACTGTATATAGTTCTCTCACTTGTGCTCAGAAAATAAAATAATGCATGCACATGCTTGTGTTTACAAAAATATGTAGAGGGCCGGGGAGATGGCTCAGTGGAGTAAGTGCTTCCCTGGCAAGTGCAAGGGCCTGAGTTCAATCCCCGGTTCTGCAAAAAAAAGAAAAAAAAGGTAGAAAGGACATTTCTACTGTGTCAGAAAAAAAATTAAAAGAACATAAATGCCTTAAATGTCTAAACATCTCTGCACCTTTAAAACCTTATACCAAGGCTGGGAGTAGTGGTACAGGCCTGTAATCCCACCACTCAGGAGGCTGAGGCAGGACTTTTGTGAGTTAGAGAGAGTAGTGGTGTAGGCCTGTAATCCCACCACTCAGGAGGCTGAGGCAGGACTGTTGTGAGTTAGAGGCCAGCCTGGGCTATATAGTGAGTTTAAGGCCAGCCTGAACTACGTATCATAAACCTGAATCAAAAAAAAAAATTTAAAAACTTTTTTTTTTTAATTAAAAAAAAAAACCTTGTTGGGCCAGGGAGATGGCTCAGTTGAATAAGCGCTTCCCTGGCAAGTGCAAGGGCCTGAGTTCAATCCCCGGTTCTGCAAAAAAAACAAACCAAAACAAAACAAAAACCTTGTACCAGATAAACTTAGAAAAGGCAGCCGGACAAGGTCATTCACTTCTGTGATCTCAGCATTTCAGAGTCTGAACAAGAAAGATCACGACTTCTAGGCCAACCTGGGCAAATTACCAAGGGGAAAATAAAGGTTCTTCATCGAGGCAGGAGGGGTGTGTTCTGGGGCAGTAATAAGCTGCAACCATGAGTGAGGTCGGGGTGCACTCACTCAATTGGGTATTGGGTGGGGTGCCAACAGACTGTTTAGTTTAGAAAAGTGCTTTAGAAGATGCTTCCATGAACAGCAACAACAAAAATCCTCCGCTGAATATTTTATTTATATGGAATACCCACTTGCTATTTTCTCAAGAGGGTTCATTCTGAATTACAGGGTAATTTGGGACAAAGGTGGAGTAGACCGCAGAGGTGGTCAAAGCCAACGTGGGATGCGTCTGTAACTTTACATTGTTTTTTGTTTTGTTTTGCTTTTCGGTTTTTTTGGCAGAACCAGGGATTGAACTCAGGCCTCTGCACTTGCCAGGCAAGCACTTATTCCATTGAGCCATCTCCCCGGCCTATACTTTACATTTTTTTTAAGGTACTGGGGATTGAACCCAGGACTTCCAGCATGCTAGTCAAGCGCTCCACCATTGAACTGGAATTTATCTTTCTGTCTCGGGCTTCCAAGTACCTGGAATTTTTTAAAACGGGGACTGACAAGGCGTTAGCAATAACTGTTCTGGAGGGTGTTATTAGTGCTTTCTCGCCTGCCTCCTTTTTCCTTCCTTCGCCGTAAGATCGCGGCGGCCCCCGGGCGCCACTTACTTGTCTGGGACGCCGGGTGCTCCTGGTTTCTCTGGAAGGGGTACCTGAACAGCAGTTTATTGCCCCTGCTGCCCGAGCTCACCAGAATCACGCTGATGGGGCTGGTGTTGTCGCCCATAGTGCCGGGGAGCGGCGGGGAGTGGGGGGACCAGAGGAGAACGCGCAGACCTGGGAACGTCCTATACCCGGAGCTAGGCCAAGAACGCCAGGGAGACCACCTCACGTCCCACGCGCCGCCGCGGGCGTCGCCGCGCTCGCGAGATTTGGCGCGCGGGCCGGGCCATCTGCGCAGGCGCGCGCGGCCGTAAGCGCAAGCGCAGATAATCGTAGCGTTGTTGCGCTCCGCGCGTGGGTAGCCGCTTCGGGGTTAGGATTAAAGGGTACCGCGCACCCGTCTATGCGGGGTCTTGTGGGGCGGGGCCAGCCTTCAAAGCGGCAGCTGTTGAGACGCCGGTTTCTGCATTATGAAAGTAACACTCTTATTTATAACCAGGCATTATGCTTATAATCCCCGTACTCCAGCAAGACTGAAATAGGATGATCTTAAATTCAAGGCCACCCAGGGCCTTGAGAGTCTCAAAAAGTAAAGGGCTGGCCGTGCAGTGCAAGTATAACGCTTGCTTAGTATGCGTTAGGATCTTGGATTTCATCCCCGATGATGCAGGCGTGGACAGAGGGGTAGTGTTTTATTTTGTTTTCCTAAAAATTTCCAAAAGGGAAGGTGGTGGTGTTCAGTGTTTCAATGTTGTATTTCTTTAGTTCTTACTGAGCGAGAAAATTCTATCATTTGACTGATCGTCGGTGTGTGAGAATTGTTTTTTTTGTTGTTGTTTTGTTTTGTTTTGTTTTCTTATGGGTTGTTTGTCCTTTTGATGGTTTGGGTGTGTTCTTCGTGAAGGATCTGTCTTCCGCTGCGGATTTTGCAAACTTTCTGTTTTTGTTTTCTGAGGCAAGGGCTCTCTGTATCCTAGGCGGGGTTTGAACTCACAGTGATCTTCCTACCACACTCTCCAATGCTAGGTCTATAAGCGTGTTCCACCACGCGCAGTTGGTTTGATTTTTGTGTATGATGAGATCGATGACTTCTGCCACACAGCCATGTCCCCAGAATGGAAATGGGTGCTGGAAGAGAGGCAAGGGCAGGGGGAGTCCCTGCCTGGTGAAGTGGCCAGTCATGGGCCTATCCACAGAGGTCCTGTCCACAGACATAGGTGGGCTGTGGCTCAGACCTCACACTTCTGACTTCCCTGCTCCCCTGCTACCCAATTTGGCCAAATTCTGGGGCTCCAGTAAGCCATCTCTGTTTAGGCCAAGGCCCAGTCTTGGAAGAACCCACTGTCTCCCCATTTCCCCCCTCAGGGTACACTTCTTGCCAGCAGCCTTTACTATAGTGCTCCCAGTTTGCCTTTCTGGCTACGTGGTTAGTGGTAATAAGCACGGAACCAGTGGGAAGTACAGGGAGATCCCATGTGTCACAGTCCAGGTGTGTCCTCTGCAAGATGGCTGGCCAGGCTCAAGAACAAGACCCTCCAAACTGGACTGAGGTCCCATCATCTTCCTCACCTTGGCCCCATGCCTCACCTCAGCAGCTGTTAGAGAAACCAGATCTCACGATTACACCTGGGCCTGAGGTATAACAAGCCCCGATTTGGGCCTCAGTTTCCCTACCAATGACAGTAAAAGGCCTTGAAGTGCAGTCCTGGCTGTAAGCTCTCACTTGTCTCTGGGTCAGTGAAGCACCAGGGAACCTCTGCTCTCTTAAGATACATCTTCACTCTTCTCTAAGACCCCACACCTCTAAGTCCCCTCATTTTAAATAACTTTTATAACCTGTTTTTTTGGAAGGCAGTGGGCTTTTGGAAACAACCCCCCCCAACCATCCTCCAACCTGAGTCGTCTTGGGCAGGGCAAGAGGCCATTTGGTTTTATCATTCCTGGGTCAGCCAGAGGGCAGGGTGGGGCTCACCAACACTATCTGGGTCATACCTTCTTGACCTTGGTGTTCCTCCCCCACCAGAGAAAAGATACCTGTGTACAATAGTGAAAAAATTAAGTTCTTATTGTCCAGAGTTCCTGTGTAAGATAACTCACTCAAATGCTGAGGTGAGAGCTAAGTGTAACCCCCACATACAATTCAAACAGTGAAACTTGGATTCACAAGCTTAATTTAGTGCTTGAAAGATCACTCAGTGAGTATCCTCAGGGAAGGGCCTCAAGAGCCCTGGGGTGAACTGCAGTCTAACCAGATGCTCATCTAAGCACAGCCCCAGCTACTCAGGCTCAGAGTAACCTAGAGCTTGAGGTTTTGTCCAGAGATCGGCAGCTCTAGGGTCCTGGGCTCACTGCCAAGGCTCAGTTTTTAAATAAGGACTCAGTCCAAGTCCTTATTTAAAAAAAAGAAAAAACTTCCTTCATAAACTGCTTATGAAGATCAAAGACCCAACATGGAGAGGGTTTAGAGCTATGTATAAGACTTAGCACTACTGGGGCCGGGGAGATGGCTCAGTGGAATAAGCGCTTCCCTGGCAAGCGCAAGGGCCTGAGTTCAAATCCCTGGTTGCACACACACACACAAGACAATAAAATAAAAATGAATGACCACTTTGAAATGAACAGTTTGGTGGCTGCACATTGGCAATATTGTACAACCACTTCCCCTGTCACCCCGAAAGGAAATTCTCTCCCCACCAAGCACTTACTTTCTGTCTGCCTTCTCCCTGATATAGGAATGGTATAGGATTTCCCATTATGATATAAGGGAAATATTATAACTCTGAACCTGCTAGATGTCCAATATACCAAGTTCGTGTTCCCAAAATTGAAGAATGAATTTTAAGGAACAAAGGAGTAGGAAATAATTATTAAGAGGAGTTAATGTGAATTAGGGCTGGAGAGATGGCTCAGTGGTCTAAAGCACCTACTTGAAACAAGCTTGGCAAAGCACAGGGACCGCGGTTCGATCCCCAGCACCACATGCCAGCCAGACCCGCCCCCCTGGTGGGCTGAGCTGGCCACACACACACACAATAAATAAATGTAATAAATAAAAATAAATAAATATTTAAAAAAAAAAAGAGTTAATGTGAATTAAAGTACCTGCTTATGCAGATGCAGGGACCAGGGGTTCGATCCCCAGTCTGCGGTGCTGGCCAGGCCCCCTAGGGCACACTGAAATGGTGAATGAGACTGGGCATGGTGGTCATGCCTATAATCCCAGCACTTGGGAGGCTGAAAAACAGGAAGGATCACTATGAGTCCAATCTGTGTAGTGAGACCCTGTAGGCCCTTTCCTAAATACTTTTTTTTTTTTTTTTTTTTTTTTTGCGGAACCAGGGATTAAACTCAGGCCCTTGCACTTGCCAGGGAAGCGCTTATTCCATGGCCCTAAATACATTTTTTAAAAAAAGAGTTAGTAGTAGAAAATATTTCTTCAGGGGAAGAGATCCAGCTCCTAAGAGGCAAGAGGGACCTCAAGAAGGTTGCCAAGGACCTTACTCCTCAGGGGAAATTTTATAGAGCACAACTATGTGCATAGAACATAGGTTCAGGCTATGGTCAACCTGTAAGATTTTTTTTTTTTTTTTGGCGGGACTGGGGATTAAACTCAGGCCCTTCTACTTTCTGTATGTGGATTTGACTGTTGTGGACATTTCATATACCTGAAATCATACAATCTAGTCTTTGGAGCTGCCTTCTCTAATTTAGTACAATGTTTTCAAGGTTTGTCCATGTCATAGCAAGTGTCAGTACTTCATTTTGTTGTTGTTGTTTTTTGAGACAAAGTCTTACTGTGTAGTCCAGGCTGACCTGGAATTTACCATGTAGCCCAAGAGACTATGAAGTTATAATCTCCCTGCCTCAGCTTCCCATATGCTGAGATTATAGGCATGTACTACTGTGCCCAGTCTCAGTACTTTATTTTTAATGTGTAATTTCTCATTATTTGGAAATATCATAACTTGCTTATTCATCTATTGATGGATATTTTTACTTGTTTCCAACTCTGGGTTATTATAGGTAAAAGGATACAACATTTTTTTTTTTTCCGGAACCGGGGATTGAACTCAGGCCCTTGCGCTTGCCAGAGAAGCGCTTATTCTACTGAGCCATCTCCCCCGCCCTAATACAACATTTTTTACACGGGGTCTCACTATGTAGTTCAGACTGGTCTTGAACTCACAATGTAATCCAGGCTAGCCTCGAATTTATAGTAATCCTTCTGCCTGAGCCTACCAAGTACTGGGACTATAGAGGTGCACCACCACGCCCAGCAAGGATACAACATTTTTAAACAGGACAATAAAGGGAGATGGCTCAATGGAATAAGCACTTCTCTGGCAAGTGCAAGGGCCTGAGTTCAATCCCCAGTTCCGCAAAAAAAAAAAAAAAAAAAAAAAAGAAAGGACAATAAAATCATTCGTTTTACTGCATTAAAATTACAAGATGCCAGGGAGATAGCTCAGTGGTATAAGTACGTGCCTGGCAAGCCCAAGGACCTGGGTTTGATCTCTATTACTGCATGCTGTGCTGACCCTGGAGACCCTGTACTAAATTTGTAAATAAAAAAAAAAAAGAAAAAGAAAGTGGGCAACCCAGAAGCTTCACTCTTGGGTATATACCCAATAGAACTCAGTTGCAAGGGCTCTAAGTGATTTGTAAAAGAATGTCCATTGCAACATTATTCTTAATAGTCAAGAGCTAAACAACCCAAAGCTCTATCCCCAGAACAACAAATAAATTGTAGCATATTCCCACAAGGAAATAGAATAGAGCAATGGAAAGGACTACGTACATGGTGAGTTTCACAAACACTTGGAATTAGATGATATTTTAATACATTATTAAAATAAAGTATTAGTTTGTTTTTATTTTTGTTTTTGTATTTTAGGGAAGGATCTACAGGGTGTTCAGGATCTTAGGACTCGTAGTTAGCGACCTGTTTACAGCCTCCTAAGAGCTGGGATTACAGGCTTGCGCCACAAAACCCAGTCTCAATCTCGGTCTCAGCATGCCCAAACTCCCAGGGGGCGGGGCCCGCACTATAGACCCGAGGATCAAACCCCTGGCCCCTGCGCCTGCTTGCCGTATTGTTTTATTTATATGATAGTCAAACCCATACAAGCTGGGAGTGTAACTTAGGGGTAAAGCACAGGCTTAGTATGCAAAGGCCCTAGGCTCAGTTCTCAGCAGCAGCAACAACAAAAAAGCATTCAAGAGCAACTACAGGAGCCAGGGAGCTAGCTCAG